GGCCTCAGTTTAGAAACTTCTTTGGAGACGCTGACCATAGTTACTAGAATAGATCCCCAGGCACCTGCCCCCACCTGCTTCTAAGCTACTCCATATCCTTTCTATGTCCTTGGTAGCATTCTGCAGTGCTGAGCTATCTTCCTGATTTGCCAGTTGACCGGGGTCTCATCTGGACCCTCTTCTAGGAGTTCCCTGAGGAAGGGGCCTGGTCTCTCTCTTCCCCCATGCAGGAGCTGGTGCAGAGCAAAATAATGTCAGTGTCTCCCCTCCCTGGGCCTTAGTTTCCCCATCTGTAAAACCATTCAGCCAGTGGATGGCATTTTTTGAGCACCTGCTGTGTCCAGGCACTGGGATTGGGGATAAGAGGCCCTGGTTCTGGATTTCAGAAGCTGACTGAATAGAGTCCTATGCCGATAGGGCCATGACGGCCCAGTGAGCTCAGTGCTCCAAGTGGGGAGCCTAGTGGTGCAGGAGCACCGAGTGGTGCAGGAGCACTGAGTGGTGCAGGAGCAGGGAGGAGGTTGCTGATCTCCCTTTCCAGAGGATGGGGTCAGGGAGGGCTTCCTGGAGGTGGTGACGATTGAGCTACAAGATACACAGGTGTGTGGTCAGGCAAGGGAGGCATGCAGGACAATGCATCATGGTTCTCTGTGCTTGGTACAGGTCCTGGCACGCGTAGGTGCTCAGTAAATAGCTGGGGAGTGTGTGAACCTCTCTAGGTTATGGGTGGGGAAACTGAGGCCCAGAGAGATTTCACGGCACACCTAGAGCTCTGGCCTGCCCAAATGATTCTGCCTCGTTGGAGCAACCCACTGGAGGCCACACCATGGGTGTCCCTTTAAAGGCCCAGACTTTGCTGTGAAGGGGCCACAGCTCAGGCCTCTCCAGCCACATGAAAGGCTTCAGATATTTTTGCCAGGAGGGCAGGACCCAGTGGCCTGAGGGCTGGGTAATTAGAGGTGGCTCTGAACCCAGCAGAAGCTGGAGCTGGGGGCTGTGGTGGGCCAGGCCACCCCAGGCTCCACTGGGGAGGACCTTGGCAGAGACTCAGGGTGTGGGGGGTTTCCCTCCCCTTCTCTGCCTCCTCGGCCATGGCTGTTCAGCTGGGCGGGAGCAAGCTTTTAATTGCATGGCAGACACAGGGTGGGGTCTCTGAGTTGCCTTGAGGCTGGATTATAGGTTGCAAACGAGTGGCCTGGCCTGTTCGGTGCCACGGGCCTGCCCGTGCCCCTTGGAGCCATGGTGGTGTGGGGCACAGGGACCATGCCTGGGCCCCACAGCAGGTCCCAGGACTGGAGAGTGTAGAATGTGAGACTCTCGGAGAGACGGAGAGAATGACAAGAGCAAACTCTCAGAGCATATGGTTGTCAAACCTGGGAATGCAAGTGGGGAGGTCAGAGTGGTCGTGCACATATCAATAAGCATTTATTGAGTACCTATTATATGCCAGGCACTGTCCTAGATGGTGGCATTATGGCCATGCACAACACAGACCCCTCAGACCTGGCTCATCTACTCTTTTTTAAAAAAATTATTTTTATTAAAATATAATGTATTACTTGCCCCAGGGGTACAGGTCTGTGAATCATCAGGCTTTTTAAAAAAAAAATTATTTTTATTAACATATAATGTATTATTATGGCTCATCTACTCTTAATCGATAATAACCTTCAGGAGCTGTTCTGAAGGTGCTGGGTGCCATCTACCTCAGGGCCTTTGTATGTGCTCTTCTCCCTGCTGGGAATCCTCTTGCGCCCTTGCCTTGCTAGATACCACCTCCTCCTCATCTTCATGAGCAGCTCTACTGTTACCTCCTCACAGAGGATTCCATGAGTTCTGGGACCAGACTAACCTCCTACAGCACCAGAACTGCCCCATCCCAACTCTTAGCGCAGTGTGCAGTTAGATATTCATCTGTTTGTTTACTTGTTTACTGCAGGTCTCCTTTGACTCTGTAAGCTCTGTGCCTGTGTTTGCTTGTCACTGTCTCCCAGAGCCTGATCCTGGCTGGAGATAAAGTAAATGTCAAGAGGAATTTCTAGAACGGAGGAAGGGCAGAATGTTAGAGCATGGGAACCTCAGTGTCGGCAGGCTTGTGGCAGACAGGGAGTCCAACCCCACATTTAGCTGCATCCCAGAGAGGGGCAGGGATTTGCCTGGACCCCCACAGTTGACGCATGAGCTAGGGCTGGAGCTCAGGGGTCTTTTTTTCTCCTGGGGGACCGACATTCTTGCTGTGTTCATACTGAGGGTTGGGACATTTGGCTTCAGGAGAGCATGTGTGTCTCTGTGTGCGTGTGCATGTGTGCTGACGTGTCTGATAGGTCTGAGAGCACAGGGGCCCTCCTGTGGGGAATGGGCCCCTTGGTGGTGGGAGGGTCCCTGGCCTGGTAGTTTCATTTCCAGGTAAGACACAGGAGCTGGTGAAGAAGAAAGAGGTCTGGGTCCTCACATGCTATTGGATCCCGATGAGGTCACGCTGCTGGGAACCTCAGTCTGCACATCTGTCCAATGGGCTTTCCCACCTTTCCCCAAGCATTCATGGAGGGGAGGAAAACTGCGCTTTGGCAGATTTGTCGGGATGACTCCATCTGTGCAGGAAACAAGTAATAATACTCAATCTCAGTGTGGAGATCGAGTATGACCCTCCCCCAGAAATGGCCCCATCCCCATCCTTGGAACCTGTGGATAGGAATGTGTCACCCGGCATGGCCAAAGGGCTTTGCAGATGGGATTAAGTTAAGGAGAGTAGATGGGGAGCTCATCCTGGACTACTTGGGTGGGCTCAATGTCATTCCAAGGGTTCTTGAAATTGGGAGAGAGGTTGGAAGAGAGCCAGAGAGACAGTAGCCTGAGGACTCAGCCCCCTTCCAGAGGAAGAGCCTAGAAGCTGAGGACTGTAGGCGGCTTCTAGATTCCCTCCACCTCGAAGACTCCGGGATGCATGGAGCTCTGCCAACACTGTACTTTCAGCTGAACGAGACCCACTTCTGATTTCCGACTGCCAGAACTGTAAGATAATGAATGTGTGTTGATCTAAGCCACTGAGTTTGGTCATTTGTTACAGCAACTGTAGGAAACTCATACATTTGGCATGCAGGCAATTTCCTGACCTCCCGCTCCTCTGACTTCCCAGCAGCCTTGTGAGCAAGAGAGTCTCTATCCTCGGTTCACAGATGACAAAACAGAGCCTCCGTGGGAGGCAGGACTTGGTGGAGGCAGGATTTGGGCCCAGGTCTGTGTACTTGCTACCAAAAGAGGAGCACAGAACAGGACCCTGACTCAGGCTGGGGCATCTGGGCTGTCCCAACTGGGGGCAGGCCCTGTCTGGGAGGGTTGCGTCCCCTGACTCTTGATTTCTTGGGGTCAGAGTCCCTGTGGCCCTCAGACTTAGCAGAGGGACTCCTCCCCTGGTGCCCTGGATATCCCCTGGCCACCTGGAAAGCGGGTACAGTGACGGCAACATGTGGTCATGTGTGGGGGCGGCATCTCACACCTGGGGGTGCGTGTGTCAGTGTGCGTCCCCCGGTAGGCAGTCGTCCGCTTCCTTGAGGATGTAGGGTTTGGGGGTGATAAAGAAAAAATAGGAACTCCGGTTTTATTTTCCAAACAAACAGCTGTTGTCCCCCTTTCTGGAGGTGAGTAGGGCTTGCTGGGACCGCTGGAAGGAATGACAGTAATCTGGAGTCCTGGTTCCTGAAGGGTGGGCTGAAGCTGTGGATTCAGGCACTCTCCCTGCCCCATACCTTCTGTGGCTCCCTACTGCCTCATGGATGAGTGATGTTCTGACACCTTAGCCTGGCTCTCACTGACTTCAGCCCTACCTGCTCTCCCTTCTTGTCCACCTCATGCTCCAACCTCATATAATCACAGTATGGCCTTCTGGCCCCTCTGCCTTCATCCATGCAGGTCCTTCCAACCAGGATGCCTCTCCTGGGTCTCCTGTCCAGACTCTGCTGGCTCACAGCCACGTCCTCCAGGACAACTTCCTTGCCTCTTCCTCTCAGGGGACCTCTGCCTGCTCTGGGGTTCCCCAAGCCCTTGGCCTGATGCCTCTCCTGCTATGGACCCTTTTCTCTTTTGTAAGAGAGTAATAATGTCTCTGCGTGAGAGCTCCTCGGGGGCTGGCATGTGTCTGATTTACCTCTGAAACCCCACTGGCGCGGCGCCTGGCACGCTACAGATGTTCATGGAGCATGTGCTGAATGAACGAATGAAGGGGTGCGTGAATGAATGAATGCAAAGGTCCGCTGACCCTCCGGAGTCCTCAGGTCAGCCAGAGATCCCAGCGCCCGCAGCTACTACTGGCTTGCCTTCGTTTCCTGCTTGAGCCCCTGGACTACACCCTGCCTCACTGTGCCCACCTGTGAAATGGGGCCCCCGGGCTCCTGCTGTGGCTTCTCCATCTGGGGTGCCTTCAGGCCACGGATGTGAGAGTGTCAGAGCCAGAGGGAGCCCAGACAGCTTCCTGCCCACCCTGGCAAATAAGTAAACTGAGGCCCGGATGAGGGAAGAGCTGGACCAGGGCCCGAGAGTGGGTGCCTGGGCTCTGCTCCCTGCCCAGGCCCATACCCTCCAGCTGGCCGCTTGCTCTCACCCTGCACCCCAGCCTCTGGAAAACCTGAGTCACAGCTGGAACCAGGGCCGGGGGATTTTCCTGCTCACCCCCAGGGGCCCCTGAACCTCTCTGACCTTGGCCCCCCCAGAAGGGAGGCAGGCCCCCAGCTTGCTGTTCTGGAGGGGCCGTGCTGCAGGACAGCCCTGTCTGTCTGTCTGCCTGGGCCAGTGATGGGGACCCCGGGTCAGGGAAAAAGTGCCCCATCTGGAGTTCCCCAGCAATGGAGGGGCGCTGGCGGGAGTGGGAGCTGGGAGCAGGGTGGGGGGATCGTGTGTGGCCGAGCTCAGCCCCGCCCCTCCCCTGTCCCCACCCCAAACCCTCTTAATGGAATCAAGCTGGCCCCGCAGCAGCCCCGGGACGGGAGGTGGGAGGAGGAAGGCGGGAGGCGGGAGGCGGGGGCAGGAGGGTGGCGGCGGCGCCAGCCGGAGCAGCAGCAGCTGGCACTCCCTGTCGCTCCACCTGGTGGGAGCACCCAGGCCTGTGCACGGAAGGACGGACTGGTGAGTCCCGGCTGCCCCTCTTCCCCGGGAGCCTGGGGGCGCTGGGGGTTTGGGGACTGGGAGCCGGTGCCCACACTTTGCGGGCTTCTCTAAGTTCCTGTGCCTTCTGAGTGTGTGCTGGAGGCTGTGTGCGCGCACTTGGCTCTGTGCTCAGGGTTGCGGTGGTGGAATGTGTGTGCACCTTCTCTGTGTCCGGTGTGTGGGGCGGCCCGCACGTGCGCGTGAGTGTGTGTGTGTGTGTGTGTGCTCCCGCGTGCATGGGGGCATGCATGCAGTTGTGGCCTAAAGGGAGCAGCTGTGTTCTCGAAAAGTGGATACCAGGGTGGTTGTCCCAGGGTCAGCAGGAGGGTCGTGTGGCCCGGGTAGTCTGCTATCTGTGGTCTGTGGGGGCCCCAGTGTGTGACAGGGGACTATGTCTGTGGTCTTGTGGCCAGAGAATCAGTCCGTTGTGGGTCTGCTGTGCCTCCTCTGTGTGTCTGTACTGGTGGGCTCTGCGGACTTTCTGGGGTGTCTGGGCTTTGTGTATCCCTGTTGCTGTGTGAGTGTGAGTGTGAATGTGTGTGTGTGTTGTGAGACAGGTTAGTGTGTCCATGTTGTGTGTCTGTATATTGTGTGTCCCTGCTGCTGCTGCTTTGTGTGGGTGTATATTTTGAGCCTCAGGACTCCCCATCCCTCTCTAGGCCTCCCTTCCAAGGGGACTGAGTCCCTGTCCTTGGCTGCCCTGGGGTGTGGGGGGGTGGGTAACACTTCAGCCAGACCCTCCTCCCCTAAAAGCCACTAATTGAAGCCAGGTTTTCGTGGGCTGCCCCTCCCCCGCTGGCCACCAGTCTCCGGGTGGGGGTGGGGCAGAGGCTCTGGCCCTTCAGCCTCAGGTTCCTAGGCCCTGGGGGTGGCTTTGCATTATTGGCATATTTCCTGACCTCTGGGGGTGCTCATCACCTCCAAAACCCCAAACCCTGAGTGAGATGGGCTCTAGAGGAAGGTCCTATTCCACCGTCATGTGGGGCCCAAGAGTTGATATCCCCTCCCATCCGGCACTGCTGTTTCTTGTCCTAACAACAGTCAAGGGAGGTGGCCCTTAGACCCATTGCACAGATGTGGAAGCCGAGGCTCACAGATGACATGCTAACCCCAGGACGCATAGCTGGGCGGAGCTCCGACCCGCTCTCCTCTGGTTGTTAGACCCTGGGCCGTCCATTCCCGGTCTCAGACCTGATTTTCCTCTTGGCTAAAATGAGAGGGTTGGCCTGACCCCAGCTCCCAGTGGCCTGTGAGTTTCTGAGCCCTGGAAAACATTAGGTCTCGGGAAGAGAGGTCAACTGTCTCCCAGAAGGAGGTGGAGACAGCTGATGGGCTCACTGATCACTTCGGGGCTGCCTGGGCCAACATGCCCACTGTATAGAGGGAAAACTGAGGCCTAGATAGGGCAGGGGCTCATCATGAAGGGCCACACAGCCATTGCCTTTGAGGTCTGGCCAGCTCCCCACGCTCTGCCTGCACCTTTCCCAGAAGGAGTGTGGGGGACCTGAGAGTCAGGGTCTCGGCCTCTAAGAGCCAGTGATACCTTTGTGTGGCCTCTTTCCTGAGCCTCTGTCCTTCACCCCAAGGGTCCAGGGAGAAGGGGGCCCTTCCCTGTGTCCAGCTCATTGTCATGTGTGTGTGTGTGTGTGTCTGTGCGTTTGTATGTCTGTGTATGTCTCTGTGTGTATGTGTGTATATCTGTGTGTGTGTCTGTGTGTTTCTGTGAGTCTGTGTGTGCCTGTGTCTGTGTATGTCTCTGTGTGTCTGTGTGTTTCTGTGAGTCTGTGTGTTTCTGTGAGTCTGTGTGTGTGTGTCTGTGTGTGTCTGTGTACGTCTCAGTGTATGTCTCTGTGTGTATGTGTGTATATCTGTGTGTGTGTCTTTGTGTTTCTGTGAGTCTGTGTGTGTCTGTGTTTGTGTACGTCTATGTGTGTGTCTTTGTGTTTCTGTGAGTCTGTGTGTGTCTGTGTCTGTGTGTTTCTGTGAGTCTGTGTGTGTGTGTCTGTGTGTCTCTGTGTGAGTCTATGTGTGTCTGTGTGTGTGTGTGTATCTGTGTGTCTGTGCGCACACACAAACACACACATGCACCATGGATTCTGGGGTGGCTGGAGCTGAGCCTTCACTGAGCAGGTGTAAAGGTTGTCACCGCCCGGGGCGGGGGGCGATGACCCAGTCTACACATAGAGTGAAGGTAACCATCCGCCCGCCTGGTGGGAAGATGGGGCCAGTGCTGGGCTCTGCTAGAGTCGAAAAGGGGCTGCTCCCGAGCCCGACTTTTCCTGCAAAGCACAACTTCCCTGTGCCAGACGCTTTCCGCCTGTCATCTCCCCTAGCCCTTGTGGCTCTGTGATCACTTCCCCACCAACCCCTGATTTATGGGCAGGGACAACGAGGCCCAGAGAGAGCCGCCTGCAGAGCTGGACCCAGGGGGAGCCCCCCAAGTCTGCCCATAGCTGTCGTCGGTGGGGAGGAGCCTCGGCCCCTGCCACCGAAGATCTCTCTCAGGCTTGACTTGCAGGAGATAGGGAGGTGACCCATAGACCCAAGACCCCAAAGGTCAAAGCCATCTGCGGGGACCTTTGCTAACAGGTTCAGTGTGGGGTGTGAGGAAGGACCCTTCCGGCTGATGCATGGTGTCATCCAGGGGTGCCAGCTCACTTGGGGGTTGCCCCAGCATACATGACAGCACGTCTGGGGTGTGTGTGTCTGTCTGTCTGTGTGTGGGTCTGTGTGTGTATGTGTGTAGTATGTATATGTGTGAATGTGGGTGTATGCATGTATAGAAGGGTAGCGTGTGTGTGTCATAGGTGTGTGTGTATGCTGTGTGAGTGTGTGCATGTATGTATGGGTGTGTGTGTGGTGTGTATGTCTGTGTATGTGTGTGAGTGTGTTTGTGTGGAGTGTGTGTGTCCATAAGTATGTACGTGTGTGTGGTGCAAGCGTGTGGACTCTCAGACTCACCCAGAGGAAGGTTCAAGTCCCAGCTCTGACAGGCACCATCTGTGTGTCCTTGGGCAAGTCACTGTCTGTCTGGGCACCCCCAGCCCCTCAACAGCATTGAACCCCAGGGTGGAGCTCTAGGGCTTCTCTAGGGCTGAGCCCCAGCAAAGATGGTGGGGGCTTCCTCCCCACCGTCAGAGCCCAGGATTGTCAGCTCATTTAAAACAAACCTCTGAGTAGTTTTGCTTCTTTTTATGTCCTGGAATTACCTTTGGGTTTTCTTGGTCATCTGAGCCAGTGTGTCCAAACTGACGTCAGTACAATTAATTTCAATTAGTGCTACTTAACTGGGGGGCCTCAGGTCAGTTGGAAGAAGCCACTCAGTGTCCTGACATCATAACTACCTCACTCCCCAAGTCCCCATGGTGACCTGTGTGGCCAGGACTGCCAGCAGGTTTAGGGAGCAGGCCTTGAGGACTGGGCCCCTGAAGGGACACACAACGCAGGTGTCGGGAACCCGACCTCCCCCTCTAGCCCAAGACCTGGCTCTGCTTCCGGGCCCCTGTTCCCCCATCTCGGAGAGACTGTCAGACAGGGGATCCCCAGGCTTTTTCATCTTGATGCTTCGAGCCCCACCCAGGTCAGAAGGGGGTTCTCAGGGACAGACAGCCCACCAGGGGCACAGAAAAGGGCTGCTGGGCTTGTCTGAGGGCCCAGTCCCCCTCGGGCTGGTGGGGAGAGCCCGTGTTTTAGGAGCCAGCTTCCTCCGCAAACCTGGACCATGCGGAATGTATTAGTCAGCCGGACTGTCTGGGCCAGATGGGGTCTGGGGGTTCATGGCGGGAGCAGCCTTCCAGCAGGGGGGAGGGGGGAGGGCGGGGTTCATCTGGTTCCCATTTAGTGGTGGACTCAGCTCCAGATTCATCTCAGGCACGAGGGTCCCTCCACCCCCTCCCAGGCCTCCAGGCCCTGCTTTGCGCCTTAACATAAGGGTTAGCCACGCTCCTGACATCCAAACCCTCTGCTGAGCTCATGGAGTCTGGAAGCTTCAAAACGCACAAGTCTCCCGGAGTAGGGTACTGGGACCACAGAAGGGCCAGTGGCTGCTGGGGAGGGGTCCCCCGAAGAGGAGGGGTCGGCTCCCTCCATTGCTCCATTTCTTACTTACTCCCAGCCCAACTGACCATTTCACCCTCCGTGCCTAGCCCCAAACCCCTGCTCTTGCCTGACAGTGACTTCCCTCCTCTGAGCCTCAGTTTCCATACCTGGAACCTGGGGATAATAATAGTACCTCCCACTTTGGGTGGTTCCCAGGATTCAGTGAAATTCTACTTAAGAAACTCAAAATAGTATTTGGCTCTTGGTAAGCCATGAAAGGGTAAATTATTATTAATTCAGCCAAGGTGCATTTATGGAGCACTTATGGTATACCAGATATGGTATGAAACCCTGAGGGTGCCGAGGTAAATAAGAGTCAGTCCCCGCCCTCCAGGACCTCAGGGCGAAGTGGGGTGCCTCACTGGGATGGTCTCAGGATGAAGTGGAGGGGCAGACAAGAACCCCATGTAGAGCGAACGGGGTCCAGGGAAGCGGCCCCGGCTAGGATCTGCTCTGTGTCCCCGGACGCCCCAGAGTTCTACCCCGTGCTCTCTCCTGCCTCGCTGCCTCACAGGTCTCGGACAGGATGGTGTCGGCGGCAGTGCCCAGGCTGGTGGTGTCTCTGTTGCTGTTCCTCAGGGCGCTGCCTGTGGTGGCCTACTCCGCACCCCTGAAGGCCGCCTATCTGGAGGACACAGGGGGCAGCGGGGAGGCCGAGGGCTCATCGGCCTCGTCCCCGAGCCTCCCACCGCCCCGGACGCCGGCCCTCAGCCCCACATCGCTGGGGCCCCCGCCCACGCCCCTGGCAGGCCCCAAGCCCCCCACCAACTTCCTGGATGGCATCGTGGACTTCTTCCGCCAGTATGTGATGCTCATCGCCGTGGTGGGCTCCCTGGTGTTCCTGCTCATGTTCATTGTTTGCGCGGCGCTCATCACCCGCCAGAAGCACAAGGCCTCGGCCTACTATCCCTCGTCTTTCCCCAAGAAGAAGTACGTGGACCAGAGTGACCGGGCCGGCGGCCCGCGGGCCTTCAGCGAGGTCCCCGACCGGGCTCCCGACGGCCGGCCCGAGGAGGCCCTGGATTCGTCCCAGCAGCTCCAGGCTGACATCCTCGCTGCCACCCAGAACCTCAAGTCCCCCGCCAGAGTGGCGCTGGGGGGCGGAGACGGAGCCAGGATGGAGAGCAAGTCCGAGGGAGAGGAGAGCAGAGGCCGGGAGGCGGACCAGGAGGCCCAGGGACGTGGGAGCCCGGTAGCAGAGGAGAAGCCGAAACCAGAGGGGCAGGAGGAGCCGAGCCCCGTGGTAGAGGAGGGGGCGTGGGAGGCTGGCCAAGGCCAAGGCCAAGGTGAGCCCGGAGAGGCTCCTTTGTTAGCCCAGGATGCCAGGGGAGCTGCTGATCCCCCTGAGAGCCCCTGTGCTTGCAGTGTTGCCCCCAAGGTCTAACAGTCCTCTGGGGCTGCCGGCCCTGACTATTGGACCCCTTGTGGTCACCTCTGTGGGTGTGGAAAGGCCCTTGTCCCTTACAGCTCCCTGACACCCCCTCCTTGGCCACCCCTGACTGCAGGCAGAGATGCTAGTCTCTGGTGTACCCCAAGAATCTCCCCGGGCTCCAGGACTATTTGCCCCTGTGGCCCCAAAGGGCTGCATCCCAAACAGCGCCTCTGGGGAGGGGGAATGGGAAGGATCCCCATTATATCTGTGACGTTACATCCCACAAAATTGGCCCCATCACTCAGGCAAACATAGGCCACAAGTCCCCTGTGACGGTGCCAACATTGTCGCTTTTCCATGGAGGTAGGGAAGACACGTCAGAGTAACTAGGAGTTTGGGACAAGGGTGAATGGGACCTGCTGAGGCCCCTAGGGTGGGAGCAGTGATAGCGACTGCATTAACGGGCCCGGGGAGGCAGGAAGTTTCCAAGGGGCCTGTGCACACATCACTATGGGTCCCTAAGTGAGCCTATTCAGGGCTGGGTTCCCCGAGCTACTCAGTGGAAAAAGGATTTGGGGGGCCAAAAGGATTTGAGGAGACACTGCCTCTCTGCTCCCTGTACCCCCTCTTAGAGCACCCCAGGGCTCTGCAAATACTTCAGTAAACGCCCCTGTGGAATCTGGTTTTTACCATAGAGCACTTTTTTTTTTTTTTTTTTTTTTTTTTTTTTTACAGCTACAGAGTAAAGTCTTGCAGAGCACACTCTGGAAATTACTGCCCCAAATGTTCCTGAAGGTGCCCCCCAGTTTGCGGTCACTCTGGGGTTAGGGGCGTGGGTACGGGGGCTCAGGCCTGCCCAAGCTCTGCCAAGCATCTCTGTCTGGGGACGAATTTCTCATCCCGTTACTGCTACGGGCATGGGATGAATGAATTGAACCTTTCTTGTCAGGCCTCCAAAGCTGCCCAGAAGCTAGGGGGCTGTGTGTGAGGGGGCCCCACTCTAGGGGCAGTGTGAGAGGGTAGGGGAGGGTTTCTAACGCCCAGCTTGGAGCAGGGGAGCCCTGGCCCCCGACCCTTTGCTCACGTGTGTTGTCTGGCAGCCTTTGCTCACAGCATTTTTAAGCCTTTGACAAGGGAGCCTGAGCTCCGTCCTAATTTGGGGGAGGTTCTGGGGGTGTTCCTCTTCCTCATCCCTCCATCTGGCAACCACCCCCCCAACCTCTGCACAACTTTTTAGGTGCTGAGATGTAGCAAACCAGCACAATAAACCTTTATTCTGGCCTGAGTGTCGCTGGTTTTCTGAGGGAGGAATGAGTCTGCTGGTGGGGGTGGGGGCAGGGTATTTCTTCTGGGCTGTTCCATGGCGTGGGGTAGCTTTCTGGGGGAGACACATCAGGCAGGCCCGAGAAGCTGAATGAGATGATTCGTGAAAGGAGGGCAGAACGGGATCCCCTCTGGGAACGTGGCAGGGGCTCTTGCCCCCAAGGCTGAGTCCAGCCCTGGGCTTGCAGCCATGCAGACCCGGCCTCCAAGAGCAGTTCTGTGATGCACTGTGGCTGCAGGAGATCTACCCGCCTCCTTCTCCAGGGAACACGAGCCCAGTCTCCCGGTTCAGTCTCCCATCCGCTGGCAGAGTGGCAGAGGACTAGAACAGGGCTCACGGACAATGCCATGCTCCTGGCACCCTTGGCCTGGGATGGGAGGCGGCCTTGGCCTTTGTCTCTTCGCCCACCAGGCTCTTCCTTGCCTTTGATGGCAAGTTCCTGAGGCCATGGCCCCCCGCCCCTTTCCCTGGAGTTGCCAGCTGGAATCCAGATGTGGCTGGGCTGGGAGCATGGGCTGGATCCCCCGGAGTGAGGGGGGAAGGGAGGCCACCCCCCAATCCCTCTCTTCCGCTGACCTCACATCCCTTAAGAGGGGGCCGGGTTTGAGTTTCATAACACACAATGGCCTCTGTCTCTCACAGCGGGGAAGGGCCCTCCCTTTCTCAGCCCAGACCGACTCCGGCCCAAGAATGTAGGGAAAATCCAATGTGAATCCCTGAATGCTGTGTGGCTCTGACCAAATCACTCAGCCTCTCTGTGTGTGACCGCTCCTGCAGGGTCCTAGGTGATTGGAGGTGACTGGGGTACGCACTGACCTGCATAGCAGGTAAAACTCAGGTAACACAGAAGCAGATGTTAGAGATTCCTGGGGAGCAGGCAGGGATGACTTTGCAATTAGCAGCTTCCAGGTCAGCGGCTCCCCATTAATTGTCAACAGGGTCCGCTGGAGGACATGAAGTATGAGGCCTTAGTTAACAGCCCATGTCCCCTGGGACTGATGGGGGCGGGGACTCAGGAGGTATTTTGAGCTCAGAACCGGCATCAACCTCTCCCTTACCTCTGAGCTTTAACAATTACTATTCCCTCTGCCTAGGACACCCTTCTACCCCACTCCTTGTCCAGCTAACTCCCCCTCCTCCTTTAGCTTCCAGCCTAGATGTCCCCTGCTCTCCCCGACAGCACCCACCCAGACTCCCCTGCAGTCAACACTACTCCTAACTGCTCACGAGCATCTGTGACGTCCCAGGCCCTGCTCTGAGCCCTGAATGTCATTTACTCGTTGAGATTCCCAACTGGGGAGAGGGACCCGCTGTTGTTCCCATGTCGCAGAGGGGGCGTCCATTGCCTAGGTCCCAGAGCCAGGATCCCAGCCCCATCGTCTGATTCTAGAGTGAGTCCTCCACGGCTTGGACAGCTGCTTGGACGAATGAATGCGTGAATGAAGCCTTTGCGTAGGAGAGAGCAAGGCCTCACTCCTGCTTAGAGCCCCTCCAGGGTGCTCCCACATTTTTGACGGAGTTACCAGAGGGGCCTTCTGTGGGCACACATCTGGCCGGGCACCAGCGGAGGGCGAGCCTGGGGGGAGATGGGCTGGGGGCCCGTATAGGCTGGGGCTGGGCAAGGGGGAGACCTGAGCTGGAGGGTGGGTGTGGGGGGCTCCACTGTTCCCAGGAATCCGGGAATCTGCCAGGTCTGAACAGGCCCCCACTGTCCCAGGCCTTGTAAAACCACACAGCTGCCCTCAGCCTGGGAGTCTGTTCCCAGACCAGGCCTGCTGCTTCTCTCCCTAAAAAACGAGGGGGAGGGGGAACAAAACCACCTAAAGACACAGCCTCTAACTCAGTGTGGAAATGGGGCCTTCTGGGGAAGTGTGCTGGGGGTCTGTGGGGTGCTGGAGGGACCTCTTCCATGTGCTGTGACTTTCTCTGATCAGCCCGAGGGGCTGGGCATTCGCTGGCTGGGGGTCATGTCTAAGGCAGGAGCAGGAGGGGCAGAACTCAGGTCTCAGGGCACATTGTCTTGAACCCTCTTGGGGTGATTTATGTAGTTTGAGCCTGGGGGGCGGGGAGGGACTGAGAAGGGGGAGGCTGCCAGTGTCCATGCCAGCTCTACCCTTTCTTAGCTGTGCCGCCTTGGGTGAAAGGCCTCACCTCTCTGGGCTTTCATTTCCCTGAGCATAAAGGGATGATCCTACTCTACCTGGCAGGGGTCTCAGCCTGCAGGCTGCGGTTGTCCGAGAGCTTTGTAATGGCGTAACTCCCGGGCGCCACCCAGACCGTTTATTTATTTGTTTTATTCATTCATTCATTCATTCATTCATTCAGGGCTCGAACTCACGCCCCCAAGATCAAGAGTCGCGCACTCTACTGACCGAGTCAACAAGGCACCCCCCTCACCCACACCGATGAAATCAGAGTGTCCGAGGGTACGTCTGGGCAACTGTCACGGCCTGGGGGGCTGTCCACCACTGTCCCCCCGACACCCGGCCGGGCGCCGGTCACGCAGTAGGTGCCCTGCGAGTGCGCATGCGTGCATGCGTCTGCGGCTGAGGGAAGCCCTCTGCGCCAGTGCATCCACGTCCCCTCTTAACCCTCCCCACATTCCCCACAGAGACATGAGCAATCTCGTGATCCCCTACTTTGCAGATGAGGAAACAGGGTGCAGAGACTTGGCCCATGTTACAGAGATGGGCATAACTGGGATTTGAACCCCGGGCCTGGCCAGCTCCTCAAGCCGGGCTCTTCCGCCCCGAGCCTCCTGCTTCATGTTAAGAACCTGTTTGTGGGTGCAAAGGCTGAGCCTTTTTACTGGTGTTGGGGTGTCTGTTGCATTTCATCACGGGGCCCACCCTCCCCCTTGGCGGCACAGCTAAGAAAGGGTAGAGCTGGCATGGACACTGGCAGCCTCTCCCTTCTCAGTCCCTCCCCCCCAGGCTCAACACCCCCAGGGGTGTTGGCTGTGACTGACTGCCCAGTGCCAGGGGAGCCTCCTGTCTCGGTGCTCATGCAGAGAGCCTCGGGCCCCCTGAGTCTGTCCCAGCTGGGATTAATCAGCAACCCAGGTTCCAAAGCGCCCAAAGAGCAGCTGCCAGGTCAGAGACACTGGTTCCCAGCCTCAGACTCTAGTGAGCACCTACTGTGCGCCAGGTACTGAGAACGAATCATTGGCTGCAAATGAGAGGAGGAGATGAATCAAAGAATCATCTAGATGCAATCACGGTGATTGGTAACAGGAAGGGCTGCCATATACAAATGCACTCTGGTGCGCGTCTGGCGCTTTCCTGATGCCAGATTTTCCGCTCTGTGGAGGCATAATTGACACGCAGTAACTGCACGTATTTAAAATGTGCAACATGATAATTTGGATAGATGAGCAGATTCATGAAGCCATCGCCAGAGTCAAGATAACAGACATATCCATCTCCTCTGACCATCTCCTCCTACCTCTTTGCAATCTCTGCAGGCTGTTCCCCCCCACCTCAGTCCCTAGACCACTATTGATCTGCCCTCTGTCCTTATGACTCATTTTTATTTTCTGAAATTTTATAAATGGAATCATATAGGGATGCCTGGATGCTCAATTGGTTAAGCAGCTGCCTTCGGCTCAGGTCATGATTCTAGGGTCCTGGGTTCGAGTCCCGTATTGGGCTCCCTGCTAGGCGGGGAACCTGCTTCTTGCTCTGCCCCTCTCCCTGCTTGTGCTCTCTCTTAGACTAATAAGTGAATAAAAATCTTTAAAAAAAATGGAACCACACAGTGTACTCCTTGTCTGGCTTTTTGCACACAGCACTGTTCTGAGATTTTTTCACGTTATTGTGTATATTAATATTTCACTGCTTTTTACTGTGGAGTAGAGTTCCCTTGAATGGACCTTTTTAATGAGAAGGTTGTTATTTCTCCCCATTTCACAGATTAAACCAACAGACTCAGAGAGGTCAAGTAACTTGTCTAAGGTCACACAGCCAGGAGTGGGAGCACTGAACCTTGAAGTGGGAATATTTGAGTTCAGTTATTGTAGGGAACTTCTGAAGCTCAGAGGGTCTCAGAAATCCTGATCTAGACCAGCCCCCTGCATTTCATCTTAGACATCCGAGGACCAGACAGGGACCCATTCAGAGCTGACCAGGAATCCAGGTCTCTGGTGGGCAGTCTTGTGCTGTGTCTAGCTCTTCTCTGCTTTAGCTCTGGCTCTGTGTCTGGTGTTGGGGAAGAAGCAGGCTGATGTGGAGTGGGACAGGGATTTGTCCTTTTTTCAAGCGGTTTTAATTTCAGGATTCCTCCGGCTGCTCAGAAATAGCAGGAGGGATTTGGCATTGGCTCCAAGGCCCAGGGGTCCTCTGCAGCTGCTCTCCCCTCCCCAAACGGGTCCAGGGTTTACAGTGGCAGCTGCAAAGTATAAAATAGTGCTGCTCGTAAATCCGCTCTTGCCAGGGTCCCTGATGTCAGAGGCTCTGCAGTGCCCAGCATGGGCATCCTGCCACTGGACGGGGCCCCACAGGGACACCCCGGGTGTGCCCTGGAAGGCTGGAGGGTCCAGGTCTGTGTGTGGCCACGTGCAGCCTCTGCCTTAGGGTTTGGAGAACCGGACTCACTTAGGGGATCTGGAGGGGGGAAAGGGACTGAGATTGTGCAGGGTTGGAAGATTGGGGACAGCAAGGGATGGGGGAGAGATAGTGGGACACAGAGACAAGGAACCAGGAGACCCAGTTAGGCTCCTCCTAGCTGCATGACTTTGAGCAAGTCACTTTGAACTATAGGCTCTTCACATATAAAGTCCCGGGACTACAGCCCTTGCCCTGTTTCCACCCCCCACCCCCACAATGCTGTGAATGCACTTTATGATGTGCAGGACGGCAGGGCGGGGTGGTGGTTAGGGGTACAGGCTTTACACGGCCTGGGTTGAAATCTCAACGCGGCCACCACTCGGCTGTGTGACCTCGGGCGAGTCACTTCACCTCTCT